CCGCAACACGCATATTGACATGACTGTGTGTATGTGTGTATATGTGTGTGTGTTTTAATTTATTTTCGCATTTTTAACTTATTAATTTAAAAAAAAAAACTATGGTCTGAAGTTTTAAGAGGATGTTGCATGCCCATGTTTGACTCAAAAAATGTTCCCTGCATACAAATGCAATTCACTTACGTCGGTGACGGAATATCGATAGCTTGAGGAAGGCCTCTTACGAACTTGCAGCTTTATTCGCCTTAAATTATTTAGTACTGATACCTTTAAGGATAAAAATTCTGAAAGCCTTACCTGGGAATAATCCGTGTAACATTGTGCAAAACAAATTTATAATAATCATTTGTATCTGATATTTTGAGCGCTATCAAATGAAAGGTTTCGCCAGCCAAGCGGACTTGATAGTTGCCATCTACGTCCTCTACCCATTTTAAATGATATATTCGGAAGCAATGCAGCTGAAAAAACGTAGCTTCTAAATACCAGTTTTGATCGTATACGTTACCGAACACACTCCGTACTTTGATCAGCTGCTTATTACAGCTTCATGTTGTTAGTTCAAATTTTCTATGGTTGCTGTAACCGAATCTGGCCACTAGGTGGTCAGAAGACTGATTCTTCTGATAAATGTCTGCTGTTTGCTTTTCTTTTGTAGATAAGTACTGGATATATTATATATCCCTCGCACCGTTTGTATGACACCTCAGCACATTTGTTAAGGATAATTAAGACGCTTTCTGCAACAGTTGATGATAAGCTAGTTGTTAAAGTGACCCTAAATATATGATCAGACTGTTTTCGTACTAAAACAAAGATAAAATCGTAGCGGTGAGAACGGTGAAGGAGCAGGAGCCTTTACACTTTTTCTAGAATATAAAAAAAAAACTGTTGAAGTCAATTTTCATGAAAGAACAAAGACACTGAAAGCATGAATACCCGCTGCTTTACAGTTTTATATGTGATCTCATGTTAGAAATTTTCTTGCTGTTCTTTTCTTGCAGGTGGTAGGAGAGGAAAATCGGCTGGGACAGTAGCGTTGCACTGTAGGACCTTGTAAAAATTTTATCATTCCATCATGCGTGACTACCGAAAGGAGAAGATGCTGACAGTTTTGCAGCCTGAAGTTTGCCGTATCCGTACATGTGACGTGGGTGTTTGCAATGCCGAAGTCATACTCAAATGCGCACAAGGTTTGTTAGCACCCTTATGAAATTTGATTACCGAAAAATAAGAATAGTAGGACTATCGCAATTCGAAGGTTCGACATTCCACTAGTTCTAGAAGGGAACAAAAAAAAAAAAAAAAAAAAAAAAAAAAAAAAAAA